GCTGTTGCTGCTGCTGCTGCTGCTGCTGCTGCTGCTGCTGTTGCTGCTGACGAGAAACGGAGAGAGAGAGAGAGAGAGAGAGAGAGAAAGAGTGCGTGCGAGAGAGAGAACGAGAGAGAAAGAGAGAGAGAGGAGGAGGGAAGGAAGGAAAGAGGTTGAGGTGATGGGGATGTTATGTGCATGGCGGACCACCCAGTGGTTCTCTGTGACGAACGGTCACGGTGTGCTATACTGCATGCGACCAGATGGTGGCCTGCAACTCTGTACAAACAGTATAACGCATATAAACACTAACACACATCTACGCCACAGCACTAGCCTATGGCCTTCACACCAATGTTGCTATGCGGCGCGGGGGGTCGTGAATTTGGTGCATGTGGTAGGGCCGTGGTGGAAGGGGTTAGAACGGGATGGGGGGGGGTCATGAATTTGGTGCATGTGGTAGGGCCGTGGTGGAAGGGGTTAGAACAGGAATGTGGTTGATGTTATTCGGCTGGGGTTGGGTGGGTTTGGGGGACTGGGCCCTGCAGTAGTATGGCTATGTGCTAACATCAGGCGTGACGATGAGACGTCGCTGGGGTGTGGATGGAGTGACGCTGAAATGTGGCTAGGGTGTGGCTGGGTGTGGATGGAGTGTGGCTGGGGTTTGGCTGGGGTTTGGATGGAGTGTAGCTGGGGTGTGGATGGAGTGTAGCTGGGGTGTGGATGGAGTGACGCTGACATGTGGCTAGGGTAAGGCTGGGTATGGCTTCAGTGAGGCTGGGGTGTGGCTGCAATGAGGCTGGGATGTAGCACGAGTGTAGCTAGGTGTGGCTGAAGTGAAGCTGAGATGTAGCAGGGGTGTGGCTGGAGTGGGACTGGAGTGAGGCTGCGATGTAGATCGACTGAGGCTGGGTTGTAGCCTGGGTGTGGCTACGGGTATTCGAAGACAGGGCTTTAGGTGGGCGTGCGGCGTTCATGATGTAAGTGGGCGGCATCGTGGTGGTGACCGCTGCAAGATTACATAACAGCATAGGAATAAGAGAGCTACTGCGAGGGAGAGCCGCCAGCTATAGTTAGAACGCGAAGCTAGCCATGTCTGTAGGGAGAAGAGGAAAGACGCCGCTATCAGCATATACATGCATGCAATCGTGAGGCAATCAGGCGATAGCAATCGTGCGAGGAATGTAAACAAACAAAATGTCGAGAAGACCCGCAAAATATGCGACGATAACTTACGTATCTGCCGCCGCTGCCGCTACTGCTGCTGCTGTTGCTGGTGGTTCACAGCTGCACTGGCACTGTTCAATTCAGACGAACCCCATCACCACACAACATCCCTCTGCCTCCTCCTTCTCCATCGGCTTGCCTCTATTTCCCTTCTCTCTCTCTCTCTCTTGCCATCTCTTTCTATTCCTCGCTCTGTCGTCTTCACCCACACCTGCAACACAAAGCATATGGATGCACGCGGGATGCGGACGCTGCTGGAAGATTTCCTTCTCTCTCTTTCTCTTGCCCTCTCTTTCTATTGCTCGCTCTGTCTTCACTCACACCTGCAACACAAAGCATATGGATGCACGCGGGATGCGGACGAAGCTGGTTGCTCCGGCTACCGAGGAAGAAGCTGCCTCTGCCTCCTCCGCTGCCTCCTCCGCTGTGCTGCCTCCGTCGCTGCCGCCGCCGCTGCACACACTGCGAGCGCTGCTCAGGCGAGACTGTCCCTGCATGCCGGCAAGGCGCGTCCACCCGTACAGCGCGCACGTGGCGCCCTCATATCACAGACGACCGACTCGCTGTGGGAGTGCCACTCAACTCGGGGAGAGGAAGGAGGGAGAGGAGGGAGAGGGACGAGGGAAGGGGAGAAGAGGGAACAGGAGGAAGAAGGGCGAAGGAGGGAGAGATGAGGGAGGGAGAGGACTCAGAGGAGGGAGAAGGACGAGGGAGGGGGAGAGGAGGGAGAGGGACGAGGGAGGGGGAGAGGAGGGAGAAGTGGCGAGGGGCGAGGGAGGGGGAGAGGGAGGGAGGGGAGGGGGAGGAGGGAGGGGAGGGGAGGAGGGAGTGGGAGGAGGGGACGGAAGGGAGGGGGAGGAGGAGTGGAGGAGGGAC